CGAGCCATTAGTGGCCACTAGAACTCCATCTTTAAAAAATAACTAAGGGCGTACACGTGATTCACAGTAGAAATTTTCATATAAATAAATATTAGATTTTAGTCTGTCCTGTTAGGCCCACTTATGTGTAATATTTTACGAATATTAGACTATATAATTAGAAAGATATTTTATTTGGTTAAGGAAATTTGGTTGAAAACCCGACATGGGAACTAAAGTTTGTCAAAATTAGTATAGAACTTAAATTACAAAATGTAAATGGGTCAAACGCATAACATCATGCATGTAATAATCCAAATTATAATGGATGAAACTTTAAATTAATTGATAATCAAATGAATCGAATATACATTTGGTTAAATTTTATTTGCTTATGAACCGAATACTAAAATCTATTTGTTTACAGTTAAATGAACTACCAAATCGAGTATTACCCAATAGTTAGGCTAACAATTAGCAAACTTCACTTATTTGGTTCATTTCCGCCCATACTCGAAAGTTGAAATATATATACACTTGACATTTATACCTCTTTATGTCATAAATAAACTATATTATCTATGCATCAAATTATATATAGTTTAAAACGTTGACCAAATTATTTTATTGGTAACATCAATTTACTGACAACAAGTTTTTCCTAATTGCGCTCTACTTGATATACCATAAATGTACCTTATGTCTCCATTCTACCTCTTTGGATTGTGAATAGTCACAAGTTCTTCAGTGAGGTTTGTGATGAGGAAAAAGGTCATGTAAATTTGGGAACCATTGCACTGGGATATAGGTAGAAATAAGACATTGTTTTTTGTATAAACAGAAGACAACCCATTTCAGACATAATGAATGATGGAATGACCATAATCGGCAGTTTTGGTTGTTGGTTTGGATCCTGCTGAGGAGAATTTGAAATGCAAGATTTGTATTCCACTTGCAAATATGGTAAAAGTGTGTCAGTCGGATTAGAGTAAAATTGAATCCATTCAGCTTCAATGACATTCACGATTTCTGAAAAATCCAGCAAGTATTGTGACTAAGCAGTGTGTTATTTTTTGGAATTTATGGGTACCAGTATGACAATGAATTCTTGCAGTACCAAGGATTAGATGCCTAAAAAAATCCTTTAATATTTTTATTGCGAAGGCCGTGATGCATGAATAGGCGTCCCTATTTGTGTATCTTCAACAGTTCATTTATTTCGTTAATCTTAAAATTCTACCCCTTAAGAATAGTATGTATGATTGTCGTCCCATTTTAACGGCCCTCTTAAATTTTTACATTTTCTCATAACTTGATTTAAGTAAAAAAGGGGTAGACAATGGAGTTCATAACATTACGTGCTTAAATATTTCATTTACAAGTTTGGTGAAGATTGCACCTCTATTCATTTTCTTATTTTATTCTGCATCTCAGCGAAGTTTATTGAATTTTTTTTATTGAGGTTGACTTACACATTCTTCTTAATCATTGGCATTAAAATATATCTTGCAGATTTTTGTTCCTACAAATCCTCGAGGTGCAGAAAGATTAGCACCAGGCATCATTGTTCCAGAATCTGATTTTTATCTTCGCAGGTTGTGGGGCAATCCAAGTGAGGTATGTGGTGTCCGAGAATTTCTAGTTCAAAAAAGAGAGCTCACTTTCTTTTTTCTAGTATAGTTTCTGAAGACTGAATCAATGCTTTACTCTTCTCCTGCTCCGCATTCCACAGACTGTAAGAAGGATTAAGCGGGCTGAGGTTTTCATTTGTAAAGGGTATGGGACGAAGAAATGCTAAGTTGGTTGAATGACATGAAAATGTGAAAAATTGTATCATGGGCTCTGGCTAACCTGTGGGAATCTTTTCTAGATTGAATTTCTAGAAAACCAAACGGATGGACCGCAGAGCTCACTTTCTTTTTTCTAGTATAGTTTCTGAAGACTGAATCAATGCTTTACTCTTCTCCTGCTTCTGCATTCTACAGACTGTAAGAGGGATAAAGTGGGCTGAGGTTTTCATTTGTAAAGGATATGGGACGAAGAAATGCTAAGTTGGTTGAATGGCATGCAGATAAGGAGAATTATATCATGGGCTCTGGCTAACCTGAGGGATTCCTTTCTAGATTGAAATTCTAGGAAACCAAATAGATGGACCTGTATAATGATCAAATACCTGGCTGGTTATTGCCCGGTCAAACCCTAGGTCACTTGATAGTCTCACACGTATGCATACTGTTTTTTACTACCGAATTTTCTATAATGTTTCATAACAATTAAATATCTAAGTATATACAAGATCCAAAATTCATCTGAACAATATCGTCATCTAACCAATAGGTATTAAGTGGTTGCAATGCATTAGTGGTCCTTAATTTTGTGACAATTGCTGCAGTAAGAAGAAGCCTTGTTATGAATAATTTTGCCATCTGAACAAGCTAATATTTTCTGCATTTGGTTCTGGACCTATGAACCATATAGACCATTCGAGGCCTTGGCTATTTTTTTGGATGTTTTATTGAACTTCTGTTATAACCGGGGTTAAAAAAAATACATTGTATGATGTTTAGCGTTAGTGTATATTCTCCAATACTGAATACTTACTTTTGGAATGACATGTGCAGGACCTGCCTATAAAACAGAAATACCTTGTCACATTCACGGTTGGACTTGGTCAGAAACGTAATATTGATGCTGCAGTCAAAAAGGTTCTTATCTTACTTAAGTATTTCACTTCTCTAACAATCAGCATGCTGTTTGATTACCTTGATCTTCATTGGGTTTATTCTATTGACCTTTTACATTTTAGACTAAAAAAATTACTTTAGCCCATTTTATTCATTATATTGTTTTATGTTAATCATAGCTCCTAATCAAGTAAATAAATTAAACAGGAAGACATTTGAAAGTTCTATAAGTATCTTGATCTAATACAAGCTATAATTTCTTTCACGGATTACAAGGAAGTTTTTACTCTGTTCAAATGCATCTGGAATGTCCAAACCTCTTTTTGTCTATGTAAGCAGTAGATGCCACCAGCGCTTCTGATACAATCTTTATATCTTTTTCTTTCTTTCTCATCTTTAGATCTTTTTCTTTCTCTTTGGAGTCCGCATAGCTTTATCATGCTATTTTGTTTCCCACTCAGTTGTCCTGTGTTATAAAATTATTATGCTTTGGTTCCACGAGTCATATACGTACATATACGTACAGAGAAGCACAATCTAAATATGAGCATTCACTTCCCAGTTTGGATTTCTTTAGGAGGTGACTTCCTAGTTTTTGACGAATTCAGTTATATAGAAGAGGTTAAGTAGAAGTATTCCCTTTGAAAAAAAGCAGAAGGAAGATGTCGTAGTTTCTTTTCTTTTCTTTTTTTTCTTTTTTACCCCATTCATGCATGAGATGGTGGAAACTACCTTGTCTTTTTTTTTTAAGTGTTGAAATTTAATGCCAAAATTTGTGGACTAGATCTATATTCTTTGGCAAAATACTCATGACTTGCTGACATCTTTGGTTTAGACCGGTTTATATTTGTTTAGTGATTTTTATTTGTATACAGTCTCCTATAAGTAGTTAAGAGACCTGCTAATCTGCCAATACTGTCTCACTGTTAAGACAATGAATATATTTGGATTCTTCAGAGTCTCCCTTTCTCTCTTTACAATTTTCTTGATCATTATATTGTATCTTGCAGTTCTCTGAAAATTTTACTATCTTGTTGTTCCATTATGATGGGCGGACTAGTGAATGGGATGATTTGGAGTGGTCAAAGCGAGCTATTCATGTAAGCGTCAGGAAGCAGACTAAATGGTGAGAAGATGGGCTTTTAGTTTATTTGGTCGTTTAACACTTATAGCCAAGGTTGTGTCATTGTTAATAATGTTGGTTCACAAACACCACTAATCCTATGCTGTCTCTGATGATACTTAAGGTGGTATGCTAAAAGGTTTTTGCACCCAGACATTGTGGCTCCATATGAGTACATATTTATCTGGGATGAAGATCTAGGAGTTGAGCACTTTGATGCTGAAAAGTAAGTTTTTGTCAAGTTGTTATCATTCCATGTAAAGATATCCCTCCTCGAGGAAATGAGTTGTTTCTTATTTCTCAGGTACATTGCACTGGTGAAGAAACATGGATTAGAGATCTCGCAGCCTGGTTTGGAACCAAATAAAGGATTAACGTGGCAAATGACTAAGAGAAGAGGTGATCGTGAAGTCCACAAGTAAGTTCTGCATCGGTTCAATTGGACATAATTTTATTTGCAGTGAAGTTGTCTTCAAGACCCCCCCACCCCCCCCCCCCCCTGCTTAAGTATGTAGGTTGCGGCTTTCCTGCTCTTATTGAACTATCTGTTTTATCACAGAGAAACAGAAGAGAAGCCAGGCTGGTGCAGTGACCCCCATCTCCCACCATGCGCTGCGTAGGATTCCTCTTCGACTTATTTCTTGGATTGTTGCATGTTCTCTTTTTGTTTGTATTTTTGTTAACAATTGTTCAACATGCAGCTTTGTGGAGATAATGGCTCCTGTTTTCTCACGAGATGCTTGGCGATGCGTTTGGCATATGATTCAGGTGAACTTAAGATTTTCTTTTTATCTTGGGTGCTTTTCCTCTAATTAATATGCAACTCATTGCTTCATTTTCTCGCTACAGAATGATTTAATTCATGGATGGGGTCTTGATTTTGCTCTCAGAAAATGTGTGGACGTACGTATCTTACGACAAACTCTTGTTACCAATGACCGTCAGAGTTTTTCTTAGTAGATTTAACAAGGAAAACTTCTATTTCTTTGTTTACTTTTCTTCATTTTGTTTTCCTCTATTATCTCTAACTTTGTTGGCTCTCATTAATGATAGCCGGCTCATGAGAAAATAGGAGTTGTTGATTCACAGTGGATCATTCATCAGGTGGTTCCTTCACTCGGGAACCAGGTGAGGAATAACTTGATATATTATACATCTGATTTCTGATGGATAATATTTAAATACGGGATGGTTATCAAATCTTACCCTTTTTATTTATCATTGGGCAGGGCCAGGCTGAGAAGGGAAAAGCACCATGGGAAGGGGTAAGCAAGCGATAGCTTGATTCATTTCTTAGCTATTAGTATTTGGCCACACATTTTGGATGTTAGTTTTTTCTTTCACTGAGCTGAACAATATTACGAGTGAATCCTTGTGCAGGTAAGGGACAGGTGCCGCAAAGAGTGGACTATGTTTCAGGATCGAATGTCAGACGCAGAGAAGGCATACTATAAGTTGATGGGGATTACTGCCCCAAACACAACACATGCTTAGAGTTCAGTCTCCTGTTTGTTTTTGAGCTTCGCCTGTTGTATTTAAAAATCATCGGATAGTTATTAAGATGGCTGATGCCGCCGCTAGCGCTTCTAAAATTTTCATGGTTCTTTATTTTGTACTTAAATTGATTATGGAACAGGTGGTTTAGTCCCATCTTTTCGGTAGAAGGTATAGCAAAAGGTTTTTGTTTACAGTTTACGCGACACTTTTAGATGGTTTTCAGGTTCAGTTCTTGGTTTTCCTCAACCTGAAGCTATACGGTGCTCTTGGATTTGGTATTTGATTTTTTTTTTTTTTTAAGATGTAGCCAGTGTATTGTGCTGTATTATCGTGTGGCCATTGAAGGATTCTAGGTATGCATAGCCCTACGTTCTAATTCTTCGCAATGGCAATGGCAGTGAAGATTTTAAACGTGGGGATGGCTATGAATCCAGGTTTTCGATTTGCATCTCGGAATTGAACGTCTGTACTTGTTGGATGTGGCGAGGAGGGGGAGGGGGTTTGAAAGATAATTCAGCCTTGAGCGCGTGTGGACAGTGGAAATTTGAGCCTCATATCGTGCCAATTACATTCAAATTTCTATGCTGATGTTTCATTGGATGTTTCCTGCAAATCCAGAGGATTGGAAAAAGCAACTAAGCTAGGAAATAGAAAGAGTACTTGCTGCCTTCAAATTGGAAGGGCGTTTCAACATTGACAGTTTGGAACTAGATGATGTCGTAAACGCGTTTATTGTTAACGGAAGATATGAGGGTAAGGTTACAAACATGGAAGATATGAGGGGTGTATATGCAAAAACCCCTATAAATAAAGTAGCATGTGAGAGAGATAAGTGTTTTGGGATTAGAGTAATGTTGTTGTAGATTGTAAAAGTTTCGTTCTGCAGACATCTAAACGCACGCTATGTGCTAATAAAACAAATAGCAAATTAGCAATTAAACATTATACATAAAATAGAAAATGAGGGAAAACGCTTTGGGGTTGAAGTATTATTGCTGTAGATTGTGAACGAGCCGCAGTAATGTGTAAAAAAAAAACCAAAAACACTAATGATTTGCCATTTGGTTCGGTAATTTTTTAATTTGTAGATGGAAAAAAAAAATTCTTCAGAGCTACGGGGTAGGTAAATTCTATAGAGAGAAAATAATGGTTATCCGCTGTATATTTCCCAAAATATTAAGTTGTAAAAAAAATAGCATGTTAATACCCTAAGCTGTGAAAATTTAACAATTAAATACCTATCGCTTCACCACATTTATACTTAAATATTCTAAATGTAAAAAAAAAAACAACAACATTTTAATACCCTAAGTTATAATAAAGTGCAACTTTTTAATGCCTTAAGTTGTAAGAGAGTAGCGATTTAGTGCTTTCCGTTGATTGTCAGAACATATTCCTAGAAGCATTCCTAAGACAACTAACGGACAGTACTAACACGTTAATTTTTTTACAACTTAGGATATTAAAGTACTATTTTTTTTTATAACGTAAGGTATTTAATTAAGTGTGAAAATTGTGAAACAATAAGGTATTGAAGTGCCATTTCGCCTTTGATTGAATAAGCCCGTCTAGGTAGGAGAAGCTAGCCTCTCGAACGGGATATAGACCCTCTGTGATCATAGAAGAAAACCAAGTTACCCCCAAATCCTTACCGTACATCCGATTTCAAGAGGTAAAATAATAAAATCATTATGGATTTTCAATGTCATGATAGTGATTTTCACAATAATAGTTGTTAAGACCATAGGGGCTGAAATCGGAATGTACGTCAAGGATTAGACTAATTTAACCCTCTCCAATTACCGCTTAATTGGGAAGGGTGTGGATCCTCTTTGGAAAAGGTTTATTAATGCATTGCTTTTGGATGAATTGAGAAATAGTTTAGGTTTTCCCTGAAAAATCAAAGGAAGCATTGGAATTAATGTAGTACTCATCTTACAGTCGATATAAGCAACAGTAGACTCGGAACAGGATTTGTATTAGCCGGATTTTAATTGAATATTAAAATAGGATTATGGAGTTGTACCAAAAAGGGTCCGAGTCCTAACATTATTTTATTTTAAAATGTCAAAAGGCATATGTAAGATATCCTGCTAGCTAAACTTGTTCTTAATCAAAAAAAAAAAAAAAAATTGGTTACGCACTGACATGTATTCTAAACTATATTGAGAAATATAATTAAGATATTTCAATTAGTTTTTCTTTTGGACCATGATTTATATTCATATTTAAATAATATCCATGTATGCATCAGACGTACAAAGCAACTATGTTCAAATTTCTAATGAAGTGAGGTTGTCATTTACCCACATGCGATCTTCAACATTGACAGACAAAATGTTGATTATCTTCACAATGAAACTCGACCTAGCATTCTCTGAAAGAGGATACAAATCACAAACAGAAATGTTCCAAAGAACTTTTTCAAAGAACTTTTACCTCTCTGGGTATCACTTCAACAATTTCGCTAGAATTTCACGTAACTGTAACTAATACATGTAAGCAATCCACAAGCCGTCAACATAAATTGGAAAGTACAGTAAAAGGGAGGAAGAAGAAACAAATGAAACAAATCAAGAGATGAAGATGACAGCAACAGAGCATAGAGTGAGGAAGAATGACATCGACCAGCTCTTTTCTCCCAACTTTGCGCCGGTCCCACGAGTCCCCTTTTTATGTCCATCTATTCACTTAGGTTGCAATTCTTGACATAGGGGTGATCATACTTGATGTACTTGGTCCAATAAGGTCTGTACTTCGTCATCGCCAACTCCAGCCACGGCTTCATGTTGCCGTTATAATGGACAACCGCGGCATTATCTATCTCTGACCTGTCGATGCTTGGGTTATAACCCAGACCAAGGACATGCCATGATTTGTCAAGAGGATATGTCAACTTATAGAACGTCAACAATCCTGGAGGTAGGGTTCCAAGTTTCCAAAGCACCCTATCTGCGTTCTGCAGAGACAAGAAAACCCTTTTAAGGTAGCAGTATAAACCATATTTATTCGGAAAGCACGTGTTTGCAGGTAAGAACAATTTAGTTCCGGCTTTATATGTAGGCCTAGATAAAGAAATACTAGCAATTAGCATTTGCGGCATGCACAAGTGAGACACGCAAACAAAGTAGAATACGAGATGGTCAAGAGGATAACTTCTGGAGAACATAATGCAGAATTCTGTACGAGAGAGCTCGATCTCTCATAACTATCTAAAAACCCAAACATGTATTAATTAATGCAATTGATAGAAATATGGAAATGGAAAAATTATTACCAACTGCAAATACGTACAAAATTAAGAATACATTATTGGGTGGAGAAAAGGAAAACATGAAAGATGTCAAGTATAATTGTCCTTTGAATGAATACCTTGCTGAAGGTCTGTCCATATGAATTATTTTTGTTTGCCATGTACTATCCTTGCTCATTCTGCATGGTAAGTTAGGTTTGGATGTGTTGCGTGTTCTTTCGAGGGATGTATGTGTTTCACTATATGCTCGGTAATGAATACAGGTGAGCTTTTATCCAACAGCTCCTCAAGAAAAATAAAAATAAAAAGAGAAGGATACAAAACTTTTACCCAATTAGACACTACTGGGCATTTAAGTTAGTCACATCCAATGAAATGGCTGGTCTGGAGAGGAGCAGAGCTAAACATACAATATAAATAATGGGAAGGCAGCCTATGAAGGCGTCAATGAGAATTTTTAATTACGTAATGTGGATCATGACTAGACCAAAGGAAAAAAAAATACTCGTAATCAGATTCGAGTATATTAGACATATAATGTATGATGGACCCAGATAATTACCAGGTATAGTGTCAATCTGCTAGCTCCAAAGCAATAAGCATAGTGTAGGCAGATGTGTACAGTTAAATGTGTGTGTCCTAATTGACATGTAAACTTCATCAAGCCTATACATGATTCGAAGTTAAATAATGAACTTAAAGAGATGATGGCATAGAATTAAATTGGCAAGTCCTATTTGTACATATGTCATATACGTTAAAGGATTAACAGAAAAACCATGAAAAAAGAGATTAACTTGAAGAGATGATTGCATAGAATTAAAACGGCAAGTCCTATTTGTACATGTCATATACATTAACGGCTTAAAAAAACCATGAAAACAGTTAGAAAGTAATACAACATCACGTATAGTCATTCACTCAAATCACGGGTTCTAGAGGAGCATCACAAGACATAGTTCGACTCAAGCACATAAAGTATTTAGCACTTGGATATAACTAAAGAAATGAGTCACAAAGCAAAGCTTTTGTATAGAACCAGACTCACCATTCGCTGCCACTTGTGGTATATCCCAGTGATATCTTTCTTTTTCCACTCCTTAAGGTCAAAAATATTCATTCCATATGCCCAGCCGCAGGCATTGGGATCAAAATTCTTAGCGATGTTAGGATTTGAGAAATTGAGATACTTGTCAAACCTGTGGAAACTCTCCCCACAGGTCTCCACTGCTCCATTTACATTCCCCTTAAGATCAACAGCCCATAATCCGGTCAAATCTTTCTGGACAACTATATCATCATCAAGAAACAGGATTTTGTCCAGTTTGGGATAAACTTGTGGGAGATAAAACCTTAGGTGGTTGAGCATAGACAAGTATTTTGGATTCCTATATTTTAAATTAGATGAACCTGCTGAGAGAGTTGTAGGATGATCAGCCTTGAAATAGTACTCTTTCATGGCAGCAGATTCAAGCTGCTGTAATACTGGACAGTACGAAGAGTTTAGCCATTTAAAGTCATCCACATTCTCTACATGAAT